CAGGTCTTAATAGGAGAACGATAAAACTGAAGTGAATCGAACATTTAGAAACTGACCTCTCTCTGTGGAGATCTGAGATCTTTGCTCCTGACAGTTCTTCAAGTTCTGCCACTGACCCAACGCATACTACCTGTCAAAAACAAAGTTCAACAGCAGGAGCTCCTTAAGAGCCAAACAGAGCATACTGAGTTAATTTATGTAGCATGCATGTTTAGTGTGAGAGACTGATGATTTTCCTTTTCCTTTTTTTTGAGACAGGGTCTCACTCCCATTGTCCAGGCTGCAGTGCAGTGGCACAATCACAGCTCACCGCAGCCTCAGCTTCCTGGGCTCAGGTGATCCTCTCACCTCAGCCTCCCAAGTAGCTGGGGCTACAGGCAGGCGCCACCTCGCCCAGCTAATTTTTTGTATTTTTAGTAGAGACAGCGTTTTGCCATGCTGCCCAGGCTGGTCTCAAACTCTTGGACTCAAGCTATCAGCTGGCCTCAGCCTCTCAGAGTGCTGGGATTATAGGCGTGAGCCACCCAGCCTGAGACTGATGATTTTCTATAAAGGCACATTCACACACCACTCTGGGCTGAAGGATAGTATTCGCTAACGTGGCTTCTCTCTCATGAAAGACACAGCTTAGTCTTAGTCTCTGAAGAGGCCAGGGTTGACACCGCTCCTTTGTTTCCACCCAACATCAGAGGGAGTCCCTACCTAGAGAGAATCTTAAACATTCACAGCCATACTCTCCATGGGTATTAGGGTTTATTATGTGCAAATCGTCAAAGTAACCGGCGTAAGTGAAACATCTTAGATTATTTCTCTAAGGCATCTTAGTTTCCTCCTGGCACCTGAATCTGGCTCATTAATCTAGAATCTTCTCAAGAAAAAGCTAGAGCTAAATTATCGTTATACAGTACTTAGTGGTAGGAATACATTCTGAGAAATGCATTATTAGGGTGATTTCATTAGGCAAACATCACAGTACACTTACATAAACCTAGATGGGATGGCCTAAAACACATCTAGGCTATATGGTGGAGCCTATTACTTCTCGGCTACAAACCTGTATAGCATGTGGCTGTACTGAATTCTGCAGGCAACTGTAACACTATGGCAAGTGCTCTGGTTTTCATATGGTTTGTCCCCAGCCACTCTCATGTTGAAATTTAATCCCCAGTGTGGCAGTATTGACAGATGGGGCCCAATGGGAGGCGTCTGGGTCACAGGGTGGATCCCTCATGAACAGACTAATGCAGTGAGTTAGTTCTCACTCTATTAGCGCCTGTGAGAGCTGACTGTTAAAAAGAGCCTGCCCCTACCCCACCGCCCCCGTTTCTTCTCTTGCCATGTGATCTCTGCATACTCTGGCTCCTGTCCAGCCCTCCATCATAAGTGGATGCAGCCTGAGGTCCTCCCCAGATGCAGATGTCTAGTCTTGAACTTTCCAGTCATCCAGAATCATAAGCCAAATAAACTATTTTTCTTTATAAATTATCCAGCCTCAGGTATTCCTTTGTAGCAACACTAAACAGACTAAAACAGGAAGTATTTGAATTTCCAAACATTATGAAACACAGAAAAAGTACAGTAACCATATGGTATCATAATCTTGTGGGACCACTGTCACATATGTGGTCTGTCATTGACTGAATGACATTATGTGGCACATGACTATATTGTGCTTGGACCCAATCAAAGCAATCAGACAAAGCCACAGGATGCTAGGATTATGTCCAAGTAAAGAGCTGAGAGATGGGGCTAGCTGGGGCACTCAGAATGGAGGAATCATCTGATAAGGGCCACACCAGGAGGAGCTGCTGTGGGTTCTCACCCAGGGAGCTTCTGTTCCTAGTAAACACTGGTGACCTCTTTCTCTGTCCTTCCTGTTCAGTCCTGAAAAGTCTTCTGATTCAGCTACTTCACTGCTGCCTTTCAGGTCCCTATGGGAGATTCACCAAGGTCCCCAGGGTGCTGCTGCTCGTCACTGCTACAATGCTGTCAGCTTTGGACAGAAGGACAAACACAGAGATCTATCTGTATAGTAAATCCTCACCTAATGTCACAGAGTGGTCCCAGTAGCTGGGACTAACTGGTGTGTACTAATTTAACAAACGTTTTTGTAGAGATGGCACCTCACTATGTTGCCTAGGCTGGTCTCAAGTATCTGACCTCAAGCAATCCTCCTGCCTTGGCCTCCCTAAGTGCTGAGATTACATGTGGGAGCTATCACACCCGGCCTAAAGTCACAGTTATCAAGAACTTCTGCATGACATTAAGTGAGGACATAGTATATGCACACATCTATATATCCACACACATCCTCTCATTCATTTGATTTTAGAAGTTAAAGGTCTGTAATGCTTTGGTAAATTTCTTTTCAAATTTTCTTTTTTCATCATCTATGAAGTCAGTTTAACCATAAGCTAATAACACACCTTAATGCAGGGGGAAGAAAAGACAGCGAAACACAAGAAAAAAATATTTAAAGTGTAGATTTCCCTAAGAAAATTGTATCCTTTCATTTTTACAGAAGAAAGTTTTATAACTTGCAGTTAATTCAAGGAAAAAAAGTAAAAAAACCCTAAAAACAGATTATCTTATGTCATGATTATAGAAAGCAATAAAGAGGAAAAAAGAGAAATAAGAAAGGGGCAAAGAAAAAAAAAACCCTATTCTTTCAAACCACATTCAGATTTCATGAACAAAATGCTTTAGCAAAAATCAACACAAGGAAATACTGCCCTGCCTCACCTCCTCAAAGTCATCGCTGACCCACAGTGGGATAGGTGTGCCCCAGTATCTGTTTCTGGAAACTGCCCAGTCACGTGCATCTTTCAGCCAATTTCCAAATCGTTTTTCTCGTACCAACTCTGGGACCCTGCAATAAACAGATCACACAACCAATCACGTAAGAACATCAGTAATTCAAACATGGAAAAAGCCAAAATGTAAATAATATTCACAGGAGCCTCTGTATAACGCTTTGTGGACCCAACACTCTGGAAACGTGGCACTCACTGCAAAGAGAACGTCTTCTAAATGGACAGCATAGCATACGCAACAGTTTGTGCTGCCATCAATGACCTACATCCAATAGATAACCCCACAGCACACAGGCCTCCCATGTCCTCTTCTTCAACTGGAGTACAGCTGCCACATACCTCTAACCAGTCACCCTAACTCTAGCCAGCCTCATCCCATACAACTCGTCTTCACATTGTCCTCACCATAGCAGTTTTACTGAACTCATTAAGCAAAGGCCAACAGGCCAGGAGACTGGTAGCTGCTCTAGCAGCCCTCTCTACAGTCTCCTCTGGTCATCCTTGGTCTTGAATTTCAGGCTCTGGCAATGAGGCAAGTTCCCTAGAATCCTTCTCACTTAACTGGCTTTGCCTGCCCTCTGCCACGAAGCCTTCCTCCCCTCTGCATCCATCCTCTTGCATCCCTCCCACTCCCAGTACTCTTCATTCCTTGAGGTTCAGCTTTGCAGAAATCCTTTTCAAGCACAAGGCTGAGTCAGGGTAGGCTACCAGACCTCCCCTTCTTCTCTTGGGCACTGCAGTTACTGCCCTGTACTTCAAAGATCAGTTTATATGCCTGCACCCCCACGAGGCTATCTTACTAATATTCTATATCTAGTAACTTACACATTAGGGCAACTAATTAGCTTACTAGCTCTAAAAATGAAAAGCTGTCTTTTGAGAAATCAGGACCACTCTGCTAAGAAATATTAGAAAGCTACAGTTTATAACTATTTCCTTTGCTGCCCTGAGATTCTCCCTATTCTCCTAAACTCAAATACAGTTTTCTGGAGTCTAGTTGGGTCCTTCTGAGAAGTAAGAGTGGTGATTACTTTTAAAACTCATAGTGAAAATATTCATCTGAAATACAAAGGTTGAAGCCTTGTTTCATTTCGTACCCAGAGGCTGAAATGATACCTCTTGGGCTATCACCTGCAGGACACATATCAGCTGTGGAAAGCAAAGGCTTCTGTGCTTGGAGCTTATCCATACAGTCAGGCACAGGGTACATCATCCACTGCAGGACTGACAAGAGTAAGTACAAATGGGTTTTGCAGGCATCTGAAAATAATGTTTACTCTGAAAATGACTATTATTGAAGGCTAGCAAACTCTGGCAGTACAGCCATATTCTTCCAAGGTCATTTCATTCCATAAATCAAATAAATGGTAGTTTATCATTTCCAATGAGTTTAAAAAGAAAAATACTCCCTTACATACTTTATCACAAGAAGGATGTTACTTCTGTTATGTAACATTATTTGAATTACTTAGTGTTCCTAAACACACAGAATAAAAGATAGCTATTATAATACACAATAAAAGATGGTTATTAAAATTATAACTTCGGGGAAGTGTAAACCACACTTAACTAACCACATGACAAAAGACACTGTGAAGAAACACATCTTACTGCTCACCAGTAGCACAGGTCATTGTTCTTTAGGAGCTGGTCCACCATGTTCTCCACTCGCACAAACCAGCTGGGCACTGCTTTGTAAATCAGAGGAGTGTCTGATCTGGGGAAGCAGAAACACAGACATAGCTGCTCAGGCTGACAATAGTAGGCACTAGGGTAAGACTGCCTTTTCATGTCTTATTCACAGCATCATCACTTACTTGGCCTTCTGCTAATATTCATTTTTGTTATAGATAAAATCATCTAAGACTTCAAAATTGGCCACCTCTTTCCACAATAGTAAGAAAGGCAAAAACTAATACAAGAACAAGACCAGAAAAAAAAAAAGTTCTGCTAGTGACAATTATCTAAGAAACAATGTCAACTTCAACTTCAGCATAGAAGAGGCAATGTGGAAACCAAACATGATGCAACCGAACACTTCATTTTCACCCAGACTTTTATAGCGTGGTCTTACAGTAAACGTTAAAATCACATTAAATTTTTCAATAAATTCTGTTACAAAATTTTAGAGATGTTTCTCATCCTAAAAAAAATGTGGCCACAACACAAAACAGATTTGTACAGGTCTATTTTTCTCACACAGTTCCTTAGGACAGCAACAATTTTAGCCATTCATAAAACTCTCCTAGACCAGGCACTGTGGCTCATGCCTGTAATCTCAGCACTTTGGGAGGACAAGGTGGGAGGATCATTTGAGCCCAGTAGTTTGAGACCAGCCTGGACAACATGGGGAAACCTCATTTCTATAAGAAATGCAAAAAAGAGCTGGGTGTTTAACGGCACCACCTATATAGTTCCAGCTACTCCAGAAGCTGAGGTGGGAGGATTGCTTAAACTGGGGAGGCGGAGGGTGTAGTGAGCCATGACTGCGCCACTGCATTCCGGCCTGGGTGACAGAGTGAGACCCTGTCTCAAAACAACAACAAAATACAAACAAAAAACCCAACTCTCCTAAAAATGAAATAAGAAGGTGGCTTCCCAAATCGACTCTAAAGGATAGAAATGAGATGAACACCACAGTATGACGGAATGCGCACATATAGTGAGTGTAAGCACAGACTGGAAGCTCTAGCTACAACACAGTCTTTGTTTCTTCTGACCTCCAGCAAAAAGGGTAGCTGTGAGTGAAGGTGCTGGCAACCAGAAGTCGGCCTTGTTCCTTCAAAGTCCTGATGATACTTTTGTCAGCATCCTATTAAAAAAAATTAAAATTTAGCCATTAAAACATACTATAATACTTAGGAACAATAGATTACTAGAATCTGATACCTTGTTACGAATAAAAGACATAAATAACAAATATTATTATTTTTAGTAACTAACTTTAAGCAATTTTCGAGTACATTCCACAACATTTAAGGTCATAAAGTTTTCGATCTGAAATGATTACCCCAAGGTCACAAAGTTGCTTCATGAGGCATAAACTGGAGTTTTTCTGATCTCTCCCCGTGAAATTTCAGCATGCTTCCTCTAAAGATATGAGACCCTCTGAACATAACTGATAACATCTATCTTGACTGATTTTATGTGATGACAAAACTAAATAAAAACAACTTCCTAAAATTACAATACAATTATAAATGATGATAGAGACAAATCAGAAGTAACAGACACCCTTCTATGCCATATGGATTACAGACCTTCACATACTGTCCTGCGAAATCTGTCACCTCCGCTGTGAAGCAGCCTGAAGCATCCACAGGGCAAACGGGGAGTGAGTCTTTCCGAATAATGTTAAAGTCCATACAGATCCGATAGTCATCCTGAGAAAAGGCAAAAGGGAGGGAAGAATAAAACAGTTTATGTATGGGTGTGAGCATGAGGTAATAGATTCCCAAGGTAATTGTTCTATATTGTAACATATACATGTCATCAGCTTTGTCCTGTAAACTGAAGGTAACTCAAGACCATTCGGAGAATCAGAGCCCCACAGTGGGACAGGGGTTAGATCATTCAGCCCAGTCTTCTCAAGTATTATTTCCCAGACCTCCATACGTAGCAGAGTATCCACTAAATAAGACAGACGACGTACTTCAATTTTTTAAGTAAAGGAATTCAGAAAGCAAAGGAATAAAGAATGGCTACTCCACAGGCAGAGCAGCCACACAGGAATGTTTTAAAACTAAACCAAATTTGATTTATAACAGCAGCATGCACATCTGAAAAACCAAAATACACACAAATATAAGGCATGGTCCGTTAGTATTACATGACGCTTGATGTACATTTGGATTTGCACCCTCTCAAGGAAGACCCCAAAGGATGGCAACACTGATCCTTTGAAAAGTATTTACTTTTCAAATAAGCAAACTGTGTCTCAATTGGCATTGCTTATACCATGATGCTTCAGGAATATATTTTGAAGACTGTTTACAATAATTAGAGCAAATACTTAGCAAAGCGCTAGCTGAGCACTTTACACACGCTCACTTAAACCTCACAATGCTCTTAGACAAAGTGGCATGAAAAACAAACCAACAAAACACTTCACAATGATCCTGCGAAGAAGGCAGACAGATGTTCTACGTTTTCACCAGGTGCTCCCCTCGCACAAACTAGCAATCATTCCTATTTTACAGATAGGAAAGTCGAGGTACCAAGAGATAACTCAGCTGTGAAGCAGCAATGCTAGGATTCAAAACCAAACAACTTGGCTCCAGAGTCTATAGTCTTCATCACTGTGCTATGATGCTTAAATACAAAATTAAAGAGACTGCCTTATGGTGGTGAAACCACTCTGGGTTGACTCTAAGACAAGCTGGAAAGCTGACACGCTTCCACCTGGATCTGTGTTCACCTCTCCCTGTGCTGAGGCTGACTGGTGTGGTGTTATGTGGGTGGACAGGGAAAGCCCCTAGTGTAGCAATTTGAACCACTGAGTGTGGAGCAAGTAACTTTACCCAGTGCATTAAGCTAAAAGCAGTATTCCTGAATGCATCCAGAACTAGTGATGTTCAACATGATGACGCACAAGTGCAAAGACTCTGCAGAGATCAAACACTACTTTGCCTGGTGAAGACAAGCGCAACGGAAGGCCTCTCAGAAAATGTTTACCAAGGCCGGGTGCGGTGGCTCACGCCTGTCATCTCAGCACTTTGGGAGGCCAAGGCGGTCAGATCACCTGAGGTCAGAAGTTCGAGACCAGCCTGGCCAACATGGCGAAACCCTGTCTCTACTAAATATACAAAAAATTAGCCAGGCATGGTGGCAGGTGCCTAAAATCCCAGCTACTTGGGAGGTTGAGGCAGGAGAATCGCTTGAACCTGGGAGGCAGAGGTTGCTATGAGCCGAGATCACACTGTTGCACTCCAGCCTGGGCAACAGATGGAGACCCCTCTCAAAAAAAAAAAAAAAAAAAAAGTTTACCAAATGGCGTTAAAGGCTATAGTTTAAAGAATGAATCATCTATAACATTAACATGCACGCATTCAGAATAGATATATGAGATATAACTCTAGAGTTAATGACAAACATCCATATTTAACAAAGAATACACACAAGTATAAGGCATGGTCTGTTAGGAGATCTGTCAGGAGGCTGAAGGAGGAGAATCACTTGAACTCAGGAGACAGAAGTTGCAGTGAGCCGAGATCCTGCCACTGCACTCCAGCCTGGGTGACAGAGCGAGACTCCATCTCAAAAAAAAAAAAAAAAAAAAATTCCCTAAACTACAATTCAAAACCAAGAAGTTACCTTTTTATTATCTACTAACAGTGGGGTAACCATACCAGTTAATTGACCCTAAAATGATTATGAACAATATTTGACTAGTTCCTAAAACTCTTAAGTAGTATTATCAAGAATGCTTCCTTCCATTAAAATGGACCAGGTATTAGGTGATTATTAAGGAATTGCTGACTTTATTGGATACAAATAACAATGGCACGGTGGCTATACTGAAAATAAAAGTCCTTATCAGTCAGAGATGCAGCTAGAATTACTTATACATGAAAGACATGAGGTTGAGGATTTGCTTCGAAATCCTCCAGCCAAAATAAAAATGTGTGGTACTGTACAGAGGAAGAAAACAAGAGAGATTACCAAAACGTTGAGAGTTAATGCAGCTGGATGATGTGAAAAAAAGAATCTATTATAATATTTTCTTCTGTGTATGTTTCAAGATTTCCATAATAAAAACTCAAGTGATGGTTACACTAAAAGCCCAGATTTTACTACTATACAACATATCGATGTAAAAAAATTGCACTTGTACCCTCTACTTCTATAAAAATAATAAAATCCTAGAAATTAAGCATGAAAGCAAAATGGCAAATGAGGGCTGACTACTGTCACTGCCTTTTAGAACAAAGTCACATTTCCAATCCCTCTCACTGACAAAATGATCAAGACTAGAGGAATGTGTATGCAGGTGCTACACCATGCTACGGAGGAGGCAAAGGAAGTCCAGAAAGGCCGGGTAACTCACCCAGGAACTGCCCATTAGTGGCAGCACGCTGATTTAAGGTGAGAGGTGGTTTACTGTAAAGCATGTGCCTTTATGTTACTCTGTTTTTATTCACACACAAATTACATGAAAAGGAATGTGTTTTTAGAAAAATTATTCTGGTCAAAATATGAAATTAACTGTAGAGTACTGTTTTGAGGGGAGAGGTCAGATTCCCCCTTCTGAACATTTAATTGAGAACACAGCAAAAGTGATGGGAATGGTCTGTATCTTGGTGGCTGAGACAACTGCATGTCTCTAGATGCCTGTGAAAACTCACAGAACTGCACACCAAAAAGAGTTTACTGGATTTGGCCCACTCTTTCCAGAAATCAGCTCGGGATGAAAGGGAATTGCAGATGCAAATTTTACAAGCCATCTTGCAGGCAGTGAGCCAGCAAAGAGGCCTACCTGGTGACCCAAAGTGATGAGACACATGACACCACATCTATGAAAAGTGGCTACCGACATACTTCTCAAATACATTTGCCAGACTTATGCTACTCACAGCACCAAAGTAAGGAGCTTGGTGGACAACCCCTGTGCCTTCTTCTTCCTTCACGTAGTTGTCAACAAGCACAGTGAAAGCGCCATTCTCTTTACACTGGAAAGAAAGGACAG